TTCCGCCGGGCCTGATTGCAACAATTTCTTATTAAATTAAAATAGCATCAGTAAATCCAAAATCAACTTTTAAACTACCGATTGGTATGTTGTACTTCTTTCCGCGTTTCTGTAGGCATTCCGTCTGAACACCTTATAAAAAACATAAACCAAATATCCAATAAGAAAGAGAACTTCCAAACTGCAATCAAACCTAAACAAATAATTTCAAACGATACAGTTTTAATGTAATGTAATCTTGACAAAGAAAATGATATAATTTACATGAATAAAGTTTAGTCTCAAAACTAAACTTGCCTTAAATCTAAAAATTGTATACTTATGTAGTTTTTGATACTGAGTAAAAATGTATTTGCTGAAATGATTAGTTTTAAAATGAAATAGTACGATTAACCTAATAGTGCTAATGCATCATCATAGTCACATTCATGTACCAATGCCATGGTTTTAGGTTTAACTGAGACTGTCCACAGGTTTGCCGTTACGGGTGTGAGCATCACAGAATTCTGGTGACATGACATTTTTAACTGTCAGTATAAAGTTGCATAAAGGTGCATGGTTGCCTTAAGAGGTCTCCAGATGAACCCAAAGTGCATTTGTTTTTACCCTGTGTCCTACCTGACGTGATTTTGCACAACAAATAGAAGTTTTATTAAAAGTATCGTTTAAAATAATCCAAGTGAGTGTAGCGAGCGATTGACCTCGCCGAGTTTCTAGATGCACCCAAAATGCATTTAGTTTTTCTAAGCTATCCACCATACTGATATCTTTATTTTTAAAACAAAAAAACCGATACAAACAAACAAATTCTCTAATTGGAGAAATGTATACTTATTAGTATTTGCTTTGCCACAGGCAGGGGCGTAGCTCGTATACTCCGGCCCACGAGAGAAGTACACAGTTTCGCGCATGTAGACTGATAACTACTGTACTGTTTCCCCCACTTTGTTCCGTACAGTTATGTACTACAATGTGTATACATGCGCTAGACCAAACTCATTTCGGTCGAGACACGGTGTACTTCTCTCGTGAGTCGTAATAGTAATTTTGTTCCGGTAGGCCCACCGTAAACCTTGAACTCAGACAAAAATAGAGACTTATCCCAATTTTAGTATTAGCCTTCCATAATTTCAAAGATATCAATGATTATTCTAATTAATAATTAATAACGTATTACAAATTGAACCAACAAATAAGTAGATAATTTTAAAAGATACGATTTTTATTTATGAATACCAGAGTTTTACAAAATAAAATTATAATTAAGTACTACACTTGTAACTTATAATAAACATATTGTCTATTAATAAAATACTTCCCAAATGAAAATTCCAATCATTTTTTCTTTATGATAGCAAACTAGTCAATAACGGCCGATAAATTATCCATAAACTGTCCACTTATTATTTCCCTTTCTATGGAAAGCATGAAACACTAGATACAAGAATTAAGTACAACTAACTATGCAGTTCGATTTCTTTTAATAGTTTTTCAAATCCAGCTTGATAACTTGTTATTTGGTAAAACAATTCAGAAAGACCAGAATTAGATGAAAATAATGTTTTACCCAATATATACCTACATAGACATTTTAATTTGATAAGAAATTGGTCCGGATGATAAAATTAAAAAGTTTTTGCAAAATTAAAATTTCAGTCTAAAAATTATTTTCTCACGTGTTATTTATACATCTAATCTGTGTTCTTATACTGTTGTAAGAGTATAACAAGTATACGAGTATAATAAATTCTAATTAATTACTTACTAGGTACCTATATAATTGATAATACCTGTATTGTCCTGTAATTGTTAATTACCTAATAAATAAAAATAAAAACACTCGAGTTAACTATTTCCTATTTATTTTTGTATAATTATTGTATTCGATTCTTATACCTACGATTATTCGAGAACAATATTATAGACCTAAAATGCTTGACTGATTTGAAGCATATCGTGTGAGTAAATATACATAGATGGCCCACCGTCCACAGCCCTATGCAAAATATGCAATAGCCGTAATTAGTACCATAAGTTCTCAAAAGATGGCATTAACAATAGCAATATCGAGTAAAATAATTAAAATCGAAATTAGATAGACAGTGAAATTATTAGAGGGCGGGAAGGGACCACGTTATGGCCGAACGTCATAATAATACCCAGGTTTGGACAATGGACTTTGGATAGAAGTAAACTGCGATAAGAAAACAACATTTTGGCTTTTGTGCCCTCCCGTAGTCCCGTCAGTGTCATAATTTATAACATGTACAACCGTTGTTTTATTGTGTATTATAAATGTGTAAAAATAATGCATTGAAAAAAAACGATGAAAATATAATTATTTTCATCGTTTCCTTAGTTTTTTTTTTTTTTGTAAATTATCAATACAATATGTTTGCCATATTGGAAAGTCTTTGAAAATTGAATACGACACTTCCCATGCATATATCTNTTTTGTAAATTATCAATACAATATGTTTGCCATATCGGATAGTCTTTGAAAATTGAATACGACACTTCCCATGCATATATCTCTTCCTGATCAATATTAAAAAAGTTTAGCGTAATTTGGTAAAACATTTTTATCGTCGTTTCTATTTTAGGTTTTTAAAGAAAATCATAAATATTATGGCCTTTCAAATCATGTGTAATCATGCTCAGAATCGCTTTTCGTTAGCAATGATAAATCGTTGCGTACAGATAGATATTAAATTCCCATCTGTATCCTACCATTCCAACGTCTCGCTTACAAATAACCCACCCATCTTGCCCGTATTTTAGATTCTAAGCGAAGCGAGGAATGTATTGGTTTTACATTGATGTTTATTATTATTTTTTTTTTATTCTGTGTGCAAAAATTCTACCAGAAATCTTGCTCCGATTTTCAAATGTAGCGCTTTTTCTGAAAGGAAATTTTCCTGGAATGATCCTTTAGAAAGATCTTTATTTTTATTTTCTAAATTGTTTTCACAATAATTGGAAAAAAATGTACGAAAATAATGCTTTTGTAATTTTCAATTTTGTTTTTTTTTTTTGTAATTCAATAATGTTCGTAAAGACTTGAAATTTGGATCAGTAATCTTATAGTATGTTCTTTTTATAGACGTGGTCCCATTTTCAAAACATTTGAGCTTTTATAGAGATTTTTAATTTTGCGAGTTTTAATATTTATTTGGTAGGTCTACTGTATGGATAAAATTGTTTGACCAAACAGAAATGCTCGAAAATTAATGTAGCATTTTTTTGTTTTAAGAATTAATATCAAATTTTGATATGAAAATTGTAAATATTATTGCATTTCAAAAGATATAAACCGAATCGTTTTTTGTCAATGATGATTCATCATTGCTTACAGATATAAATTAAATAACTTTATTATTGAACATTTGTGTAATCGTATTCATAAAACTAATTTACTATCAATATATAGTATTGAATACGAAATTGTGAGTCACCTAACTTACTTTTAATTCAAACATTATTATTCTTAAGTACAAAATAGTACAATACTATCCATTTGTTTAAAAATTAATTATTTTAAAGAATTTTTTTTTATTATGGAAAGTGGATCTGTGTAGTAGTTCTCTGAATAATCCTCATATTTTTGTGATATTAAAGTTTGAGAAAAAAATTTAATTTATTAGATAGTATGGCAATAATTGAAGTTTTACCCATCTTTACTATAAAAATATCTTTGTTTTGTCTAACCTTCCTTGAACGTATATAACGATAGTAAATTAAATAATAGTGGGTATTTTAAATGTTTATTGGTTTTACCACTGGTTTTAATATGACGTGTGCTATTTTTATGTCGGTATTTACAATATTTCCACCACTGTTCGATTAAAATATCTTAATTCATGACCACTAGACTCGAAAACTTCATTTAAGGTTTTTGATAGTATATTAGAATTTAATTAGTATTGGGGAATTCATTTTTGATGATATTTGTATATAATAATGTAGTTTAATGTAGTATTTGTTTTTCATAAGAATTTTATTATACAATTTTGTTGAAAATCATAAATAAGGACGTGAAATTAAAACATGTATTACCGAACTCCGATCAGAATCGTTTTTCGTTAACAATGGTTAATCGTTGCACACAAAAATACATTAAACTCCCCTCTATATTTTCAAACCTTCCCGACCATTTTTTGTTTGAAAGGACCGCAGTCCAAAAAAACGCATTTATTACCGCAACTACTAGACATATTTTTTATAATTTTTTTATAAATTTATTTTGTCGTGGTCGAATCCGTTAGAACGAATATTCGATATTATCATCTATCGCTTATCAAAATTGTTGAAAACACCAAAATAAACCGGCACCACAATCGTGGTTACCACATAGAGTAATATTACCTTACGGGTTACCGTTAGAAAATATGTAATGTCGGAAACTACACTAGTGCTTATAATGGACGGTGCTTACTGATTTCCGCCTCCCAAACGTTTTTAACGATACGTGGGCTATCCGTGTATACTTATTTATTCAATGGTAGAATCGTACGAGTGTACTAGCACAAGTTTTTGAACGATTTAACAATGTTTTAGGTATGTATTGATCACGGCTATAGATTATTATCATACCATTATGGTAGGCATTTATTAACGTCGGTGTATCATTAATGTAGTCATAATATTGATCACTACGTGGCTATAGTGTAAAGGCCGATTACGTTTGTTTTGAGTTTCGCATTTTTACGGTCCGCAACCATGTTATCTTCAGCCGTGGTTTTCAATCAGTCGGACGGGTATGTTTACGAGTGTTTACACGTATCAATTTATCCACCTAGATTTCTCTGCTCGAACAATTTCTGTAAACATATTTTCCGCCGAATTATTTTCGATTTAAATGTAGGCACCGTTATTTATTTGATCGGCGGTTATGTCTAAAACCGCCATCTATAACTGTAATAAAAGTATAGACGTAACACCAGTGGTTCCCAACCTCTTTGATACTGTACGGACCACCTTGGAGAACTTTCGGTGGGTCACGAGCCACAAACCTCGCATAAGCGAAATAAGCCACGGAAAAAAAGTCAATCAGCATTCTAAACCGGCAATGCGCAAGCAACTATCCATTATCCATTCAGGCCAAATTACGGAATTTTAACTACGCAAATAAATATAAGCGATCTCATGTACGTATTCTATTAAATTTTGTAGATATTGCCACTGAACAACTATGTTCAGTAGAGTTCGGTCGTTCGGTGGATATTGCCTGGCGGGCTACCGGTGGGTCCGCAGACCCTAGGTTGCGAACCACTGCCTTATACTATAAGGCGTACGAATAATAAAAAAAACCAACAAAGCTGATAACGGTTGAAATATTGATAATAAATGGTAATACTGTCACGGTTGTAAGTCTGATTAAAGATAATATTAAATTGCACGTATCTTATCATGGTCGTGAGCATATCAACTCGTTTACGTTGCGTTTTCCAATCGTGTTTGTTGACTAATTAACATTCGTTTGGATCGGTGGCCGTGCCGTCTAAGTATTTATTCTCGTTCGTTTAATTTTGTCCGACATGTACGAAGTTCACGTTCTATTTGTCGGCTATTGTCATCCAACGGAAGGCGGTATGATGGCCAACTGCACATGCACATTGGTCAAAGGGCCGAAAAACATTATTGTTGACACGATGACTCCGTGGGACGGTAAACGATTAATAGAAGCGATTGATCGGCACGGCGTCAGCTGTGACGACATTGATTATGTTGTCAGTACTCACGGCCACTCGGATCATTTAGGTAACAATAATTTATTTTTGAACGCAAAACATCTGGTCGGCCGATGCGTTAGCTACAAACAGATGTACTATGACGACGGTGCGTTTTTTAACAGCGACGGTGTCTATGAAATCGATGAGAACATTCGTATTGTCACAACCCCTGGACACACACTGGCCGACGTGTCCGTTATCGTTCGAACTGCCAAAGAATCTATTGGCATTGTAGGCGATTTGTTTGAAAACGAAAACGATATAACTGATGAATCTATATGGATTAGTGCCGGTAGTGAAAATCCAGATTCACAAAGAAAATATAGAAAAATTATTATGGAACAAGTAGATTGGATTATACCAGGTCACGGTGATATGTTTTCTACCGAAAAATACAAGTGATGGGTCATAATTGTTTTGTTACTATTTTTTATCTGTACAATGTACCTATTATGTATATAATAATATATATAAATGTATTTAATTAATTAATATTATACACTTATAAATACTATGAAAATTCAACCGCAAGTTATTTCATACGGAGTATAAAAAATTATTGGTCAACAAGCATTAACAATCGTACGTTATTAGAACCCAATTCATGTTTGATGCAAACAAATACCTATGGGTGAAAATTATGCCGTCTGTATTCATTTAAAAACTGTGCTTTACCCAGGGTCTTATGCGTTACATTTTTGATACATCTACATTGGTACACTATAACAACGATCAATATAAAATTTAAGAAATATATTTATAAATTTGAATATGATAAATATCTGGACCAGTAGGTAATTACTATGTATTATAGGGTTTAACTAAAATTAATAATTATCAAATGGTTAAATTTGTTTGTGTTTTTTTGTTGTTTTCTTAAGTATGTCAGACTTTGCGAGACATTTTGGACAACACTTTGGATAGTTTTTCTCAGCTCTGAAGGGCTGACATGTTTGATCTGGATGAGTACAACTTGTGCATGGTTCACATCTGAAACATGGTATTATAAAAATATAATATTTCAATTTTTTAATATTTATATTTGATATAGTGTATGCTTACACCATAGATTTAATAGTCGGAGATTTTGAATTTCTTTCCCTGGAACAAACACGTTGTTCACATTTCCCTTCTGGATACCAAGTGGAATCAACTTTGTAGGATGATTTAGTTTGTTTGTCATAACATTTATTAACTGTAATACATATATAAATAAATTTTAAATAAGTAAATCATTTGTATTAATTGCATAATTAATATAATATTCCTATCCAATTTGTTTTATTATTTATTTTCATTATTATGGATAACAAATATTTATGTAATATTTTATCATATTATCTAATAATATGTTTTATTTATTTTTATTTTATTTTCAATACCGGCTGCGGCCCAAAGTACATTAATATAGTATTTACTGCCCTAGATAAAAACATCATAAGTCTAAAAAAAATTGATATATAAAATGTCCGTGATCAAGGATGCCCCGTCAAATATAAAATATTCAGGAAAGAGGGTAGATTCTTTTGAATAAGAGCTGTGATTATATATTTATTAACACTCTAAACATCTATACAGATTTCTGAAAGTTATTATTTATAGGTAGTTCAATATCTAGGGATGACATGCCCCCCTAAACGCTGCACCTGATATAACATTACCATGAATAAATGCGATGAATACAAATATAATAATAGAGACAAAAGAAATTCAAATTTGAATTCAGCCTATCAGAAGAACCGTATATTATGATAGTAATAATATAAAAATATATTTACATATTTAGCAGTACTGTGTTATCCCTAATTCAGAACTCAAAATAAACTTTCATCCATTCAAAATATATAAACGAAACATAAATTAATTTTAATTGAATCGTTAATTTTAATTCAAATTTAAATTTTACATTGACAATTTAGGAAAATAACTGGAGCAATTAATAATTGAGCGAACCCGAAAAATACGTAGAAAGGACGGGGAAATTTACGAAAATATTATTTTATTATTTTAAATTTTGACATGAAACCTATATTTGATTTTTCTATATGTGGTAAAAAGTCGTACATATTGGTAAAAATAAAATATTAATGTAATGTAGTTTTTTTTTTTACAAGAGTTAAAATCGAAATTCGACGAAAAACTTAAATACTACGGCCTTTCAAAACATGTATCACCGAACTTCGCTCCGAATTTTTTTTGTAAAAAGTTAAATAACTTGATATCTACCTATCCCACTTTTTTAGCTTCTTACCCATCTACTATTGTGACCGCACTTATCTCCGGTATCGGCTCTTTTTTCATAATAATACAAAGATTGTAAATTCCTTTTTGAGATAATTAAGTAGTATTATAATTGTACATACTTAATATTTAATAAAAATCACTGAAAATGCATTAAGTTATTAAAATTAACTTAAATTAATTTAAATTCAAGTAAATTTATATTATTAAGCAAGCTCATTAAAACAAAAATAGTTCATGAACTTTGTTCAGCCTATATACTTAAATAAACTAGTTTACGATTTTTATAAACGTTCTGAGTTCTAATGTGTGGTCTAATTTATATGTCAATTAAATTGAACAGACACGCATAATACCTACCCAATAAATTAATCCCAAAATCGTTCTACTCACTCAGTTTATGCTCTTCAATTTCTTCGTTTCCGGATTCTGTCAGGTCTACGTCCAACACGTTTTCGTATTCTGGAGCAATTTTTTCAGCCGCGGCCAGAGTACACAATATGGTCAATATCAAGAGGCACGAAAATTTCGACATGACTGATTATATTGCGCGTATAAATAACAAGAGAGAAAAGAAGTGGACCAACAACCTGTGTCTTTAGTTCGGTACCTATTTAATTTACGCGCGAAGGACGTAACGGATTGCCGTAAACTAATATAGGCACGTCGGTAGGTACCTATGCGTAATTTTAAACACGGATACCTGAACTGCGATAACCTCGGCGAGGACCTTTCGGGTCATCGATTAAAAAATCTATATAATACGTTTCAATACCGACGTTGTAATAATACGGTACAAGGCAGGTAATAATATGATGTATTGTTTAATAATAGTTGTCTACTTATTATAGTTGTACACGTTAATAATTGCAGAATATAATTATATCAACAAACAATAACATTTTGGTTAAGTAAGAATTGCGTTCTATTGTGTTGCTAATTCGACGAGTTCTTAAAAAAGTGAAAAAAAATTACTGCGAACATTATAATAACGGGTATATCGATTTACGCAGAATAAAATAATAATATAGTCAGTGGTCGAAGTGGGGGGGGGGATGACATCCCACCACTTATTATAATCTACATTTTTCATCCCTCCACTTATTTGTCCAAAATAATACATCCCCCTTATAATTATATACAAAGACTATCGATTTATATTGGTGTTTTTATATCATAATATGTCATTATAGTCTATAGACTATAATAATGACTAATTAATAAATAGTTTTATTTTTTTTTTTTTTTTTTTATACGAGTCAATTGACACAAATGATACCAACAACCGTTAAATGTAATAAACATTCTGGTATTTCTGCTGCATTTCTGATTCCTAATTCTAAATGTAAATGTTCAAATATCGGATCTGGTGTACCCAATTGTGAGTCTAACATTATACATCCTATATACTTTCAACCAATCAGCTAGAACTATGTTATCCTAACAGTCAAGGCTTGAAGGTGGTTCAAGCTATGCAGGTGCATAAAGCCCAGTGCTTTTAAGAGCCCCACGTTGCGTCCCAATCACAGCTCCCAATTTCACATTTAATTATTTAGAAAAATATAAATCAAAAGTAATAGACAATGGCGAATCGTAAAGATTTACCAACAATTAGAAAAAAAAGCAAAACAGTGTAGGAGAGGTCGAAGATCCACAAAATTGACTGAACAGGGCCTTGATATTTTCCCTACTAACTTAGCTACGACCACTGTAATCGACCATTGTTGTTCGGTTTTTAAACGGCATCGACGGAGTTCGTCGATTTCTAGACCTAATCTACGACGAGCGTGCTGCAGCGTGCACAAAGGACCTCGCGGTTTTACGCCGACGAGTGGCGACGGCTCGACCTCTTGTACGTAAACACACTCACGTCTCACACTGTATAACAACGGGCATCGGGCGGACAAATAATATACGAGGCAAAACGAAAACGAATCGCTCCCGACCCTTTTTTTTTTTTTTTCAGAGCAGTCGCCTAAGCGGAATAATTAAATTCGCACAAAGCTGCAAATGTTATAATAATATTACGTTACCGTCCATTAAAATTTACGACGGCGATAAATCTATTAATTCCATCGCTCCGTTTATTCTTTATTATTTTTTTATCGTTCGTATAATTTGGGTCACTTTATTACCGTATAGTATATTACGATCATAATGATATTAATATATAAATATATTTATACAAATTATACCATCACCGTCGAGTGTGCGTAATAGGTGGGCACGTGCATAATGACGAATCCGCCAGATATTCGTACGCGTCCCTAATTTTCAAAAATATTATCTACCCGTAACCGTTTACCTTAACCTAATTGTTTTTTGGATTTAGAGCATATAGCGATGATTGGTTTTACTATGATGTGTTTTTTTTTTTTTTTCATGTTTGTGAACATTTTTTCCACCAGAAATCTTGCCCCGAAGTATCGGGTATAACATACTTTCTGAAAGGTAATTTTATCTAGTCGGTGTTCTGGGAGGTAATTTTTTTGATTTTCCAAGGAGTTTTCGTAATGATTGGAAAAACCGGAAAAAAAAATTATCGGAAAAATGACAAATATTTACTTCTGATTATTTACGTTCCGATTTCATTGTTTTTAATTTTTACTATGTTTTTACCATACATTTTTATCCGAATTTCACGAATAGTATATTTTCTAAAAGAAAATATTATTTAGTTTGACAGTAAGAAAGTCGTTGTTTGAAAAATGCTTTGATATTTAACGCAAGATATATTATAAATTGAACTTAGTGGCCTAAAAAACAAATTTGAATTTAATGCATTAGTTTTTCTTTTCTTTTTTTTTCATAAATGTTTTACGATCAATGTCTTACCGAACTTCGTTCCGAATCGTTTTTCGTTAGTAACGGTTTTATAAATTAAATTCTCCTCTATATCTTATCTTCCCAACTTCCCACCTACAACAGTAGCTGCACCCGTCACCAGTATGAACTCTTTTTTTCCTTGTGGCTTATATTTCTCAAATATTTATCAAAAAATGTCTATATAAGTACATATTCCAGTTGAATGGTCGGTGCAAAATTTTACGACTTGAAAAATTGTAAACAATAGTAAGTGTTACAGTACTCCTTATACTTAATTCGAAAGGCCCTACCTATATAAATTATACTAGAGAGTAACATACTTTTGAAAATGACCTTTTATTTGCAATATAATTCGACATCAGATTGTCATAAAAAATAAATATGATATATATATATAGATTAATGTATGAAAAAAACGTAATGATGTGTTACATACACGGATAAATACAGGACGGTTCAAAACACAACTATAGGTGGGTACTGCGCATTCTTTTAAAATTAAAAATAAACAATAATATTATTCTTGTGATAATATAAAATTACACGTTTCTCGATAGAATAAGTTAAATCTAATTTTTTATAAAATAGGTACCATCTGTATTATTACATTAAAATATTGTGATTGGGCACCCATCGGTATTCATAATTTTATTTTTATTTATAATATTTAAGTTTTTCAATAAAATGCCTATAATAATTATTTATTACTTATACTGCGGTTATACAAATTCGGCCGTATTAGCCTTAATTCGTTGATGATTTTTAAGCAGTAGAAACCTACACAGATCATGATAGACGATTAAATATTGTGCATTTATTATATTACGCTGATTATTTTTAGTAGATATAACATTTGGAACATCCTGTATAGGTCCAATGCACTCCCTTCTGCTGAAACTGGCAGATGTTTTAATCATTTTGAAGAACTCATTTAATAAAAAAAGAATCCACACACAGAACACACTCGGATTATGTCATTCGACGTTAAAAAGAGTCAGTGACTAACATGTGATTTTGGCATAGATTTTTCAGTTAAAGTTTATTAAATATGATTACTGCGGGATTTGTGTGTGTGTTAATACAAATTGCTTTCTCCCACGGTTCTTTACATTACGACAATAATGATTTCAAATCCGAGGTAAGACTTAAAATGTATTTTTGGTAAACAATTTTTTTTATTTGGACTGTTGGTAGATTGTAAATATACCATTTGCATATAGTTTAAAACGTATAAATTCGAATAGCGTAGGTATTTATATTTTCTCAGTGACTGCTATTAGGGCTATAATTTAAATACTCGTGATATTAACGTTATTATTATTGTAAAATGATATATATAAAAATTCTATAAATACTATTTTTTTCGAAGAAAACATAAAAAATTAATTTATAGTAGGTACCTATCAACAGCCGTTTTCAATAAAAATCAAAATATTTTTGGTTAAACCTTCGAACTTTCCTCAGATGGTTTTTGAAACAATTTATCATTTTTAAAGTTTAAAATAATAAAACACTTACTTGACGTATAAGACTACTTATAAATTTTAAGACCTATAATAGGACTGTCCATTTCATCAAATCTTAATTATATCCTTCTTTTAGACACTAAACAGAATAAGAGAGGTGCCTAACTACAATTGCAATCTATTTCTTTTTCTTTTTTTTATTTTTATGTTTGATGAATTATATTTTGAGTAAGGTAGATAGAAGTAGGTAGATAATAATTAACTATGAACATTACCATTTATTTTCAATCGTAAGTAAAAACATAGAACTTATTTTGAATAATAGGTAATTAGTTTATTCCTGTAGGACCTATAGTACTATAGTATAGGTATATAAAAACCTATAATTATAACCTAATAATTTATAAAACACTTTAACGGCTAGATTTAAAAATACCTTGACGTAATCAAAAATGGTTATTAGGTATGTACTTATTACTTATTACAATATGATTATTTTATTTTCTAATATTATTATGTAAGTATTTTCATATCAAAAGTGTCAATATTTTTTCAGGATAATCCAATATTGTCTTCTAATTCAAATGGTCAAGGAATATCCTCAGATGTCCAAATTATAGATTTGTTTGATCCAAATAAAGTAAGCATTTTTATTAACCTTATTAATGTGGTTAAAATAAATTTTAAATTGTCTAGACGAAAGATTCTTAGAACGTATACGCTCCACTAGATTCGTGTAAAAGAAACTTTGAAACATTTAACGTATACCTACGGATCTTAATAGTTTTATTTTTTATTTTTTCAATACATCAGGATGAAAAGCACCGGGTAGACCCGGCATGAGTGTCACAGACCCCAGGTAGCCACAGATCACAATTTAAGAAATGTTAGTCTAGCCGTACCTATATTATGCACCCAACTTAACTATTAACCCAATATCCATCTAATTATATTAATAGATTAAGAAGAAAAATTATGCTAACTAATTTTATCCAATTAAAATTGATCTATAGTGATAGTACTATTATTGTGTGTATTATTTTAACTATAAATTCAAGAAAATTAAATAAAAATATATTTCATACGAATTAAAATACGAGTTTATTAAAAACAATTAAAATTAAAATTATATATACATATTATGTATTATGTAATAATGGACAATACATAGTATATAATATGTATATGTGTACATACACACTCGTAGGTCACAGGCCATTCGAGAATTTAGTTTTTATCAGACCAACATAGTCATCTTTTTCAAAGAGGTAGTCCCTTATCTATTTTTTTCCGCAAACAGCTTGCCATTTTCTAGGCAATTTGCATTGAGACAATGGCGATTGGGCCCTTTAGAAACACTATTTAAAAATGATGAAATTTATATAAAATAACAAGATATTTATTATTAATATAATAATGATTATTAATGATAAATGAATAATATCGAAATACATATAATATCTGCTGTAGATTTAA